GATCGGCAAGCCATCACCGCGAGTTCAGTGGTATGTGAATTGTGGTACAAGTATACTGGAAATAGTTTACCATTTATTCACTAGGCAAGTGGCCTGCCTTCCGGACAGTCGTGGTGCACGGTTGCGGTTCTTTTTGCTTATGCCGTTGGGCCTGATTTCAACTGGTGACCATCAATCCACACGGATGGGATGGAGATATTGTAAACATCTGGTGGCTTAACATCGCTGCGACGCATGGGCAAATCGAACATGATCCTTATAGCCAGGGGAGCGATCTAGGTCTGTATCACGTACAAGCCTCGATTGACTGGCTGGACTGGATCTGTTGCCGATGAAGCCCTTGTGCGTCTCCTTCTCAATGTATGCACCATCACAAGTACAAGATAAATCGGCAATTTTTTCAGCGCTCATTGACCCAAACTAACGCAACATAATTTATTTTATCACGCTATTGAGCGAATATGTTTCGGCACACTCGTACTGGGGCTTGTGGGGAGTCCCATCTCTCAAGCAATCAAGCAATAAAGCAATATTGAGATAGACGCTGATGCAATATCAACGATAACATGTCACATGTATGCGGCGACTTATGATAGGAGCTTGGGGAAAATTAGCGAGTACTGTGCGACTTATCAAATATATATATATATATATGGAAAACACATTAACGCACTTTTTCGGCTGGCAGTGTTGTGAGACCTGTAGCCGGCCGTGGGGCGCATGTTGCCGTCTCGACCGGGGACGTCATCTCCCACCTACCGAACATACTCTCCATCTCTGTCACCGTAGTACAGTATATAACACATGGAATCCTCGAGCGTCGGCGGTTCATATTTTCCGACACAGAAAGTTGATGAATGCAATGTGGTCAAGCCATGCTTATGGGACAGCAGAGACTGGGTGTATCGCGCATGGCGGCGGCAGACTTTGGACCCCGTGACGACATGGGACACTACAACGGCGACCATCACGAAAGCACCTACCTACTACCAAGTGCTATATTTGAAACGCAAGCTGGAAAATAACTCGAAGCCTTGTATGCGTCCATACTGCGAATGTTTTATTCTATTGACACAACAAATGTTGGAGTTGGTTGAGACGGTGGATGCCTGCACACCTTCCCGCCCGGCAGCTGCAGCCCATCGCTCATCCTGGCGATGGGTGGGGTACAACTATCTACGAGACTTATTCTTGTCTTTGAATTTTATTTCGATGTTTTAAAAAGGCCTGGCCACCGCCAGGGGCCGTATTTCGACAGCAGGACGTGTCTGCCACAGTCACTCATGGGTCCGGATATTGCGTTCGCAGCCCGACCTCCGGCAAATATTCCGGCGCAAACACGCTGCCCAATGATGCGGGACTTTCAAGCCGCATCGTGCTTATTTTGCCGTATGCTTTCCCATTTACTTTGAGGATGCTCGTCACGATTCATGGTGTTGGCCAATACAACGGCGACGGGCGGCCAATGTCTTTCGTAGGGTGAAACCGGACAGCTGGAGCTGCAATGCAGCTCGATTGACCCGGGCGGGACAAAGGGTGTTGCAGCACCCTCCGCCTGGCCGAGTCGAGAGAGAGAGTACACACAAAGGAAAAGGGGGAAGGAGGGGAAGAGGCGCAGCCGTCTAATGGCGAGGGCAGATCGTCCCGAAGAACGAGCTTGCCTTCGCCACCTTGACGAACCGGTCGAAATTCCTTCCTATTGCACGGTTGACCGCCGCGGTCGGTGAGGGGGCCAGCCTCATCCGAACTTGCGGCGGGATCTTCCTGCAATAGAAAAGATGTTTTGGCTCTTTTCGTCGCCCGCACGAGCACGTCAGTCGTGCATCGTCGTGGTTGAACTGTTCGTGGTAGTCAGCAAAGTCCCCGTGATGGGATCTCGCTGCGAGCAGGTGGTGGAGGAGAGATCGCGAGATAGTAAGTTCTGGCGGGCAACCAGTTGTGGCGTCGAGGTTGAGGACTCTATACTGTTCAGGTGCAGACGCTTCCCACCAGGCTTTAAACGCGTCGTTAGGTCGCCGCCGAGCGACCTTACGCAGATATGCCAGCGTCGGGAGAGCGTCTACAGGCTCGGGTTGAGAGGTTCCGGCCTTTGCTAAGGCGTCGGCCTGCTCGTTGCCTGGGATGTTGGTATGGCCGGGGATCCAGCGGATCTCGGTGGCACCATGTTCTGCGGCCAAGGCCTGGAATTCCAGGAACTCCTTCTGGGAGGAGTCTGACGGCATGCCTTGCAAGCAAGTCGCAACTGCGAGGCTGTCGAGGCATACGACGATTCGTTCTGGCTCATGGAGGCCTAGAGCGGCACGCAGACCCTCAAGAGCGCCTTTGGCTTCGGCATCAAAGACCTCAGCGAGACCCAGGCGCCCGTTTCCGTCGAGGATGGTAAGTCCGTTCACGTGTATTGCATAGCCGTACCCTGCGGCTCCCGTCTGGGAGAGGGATCCGTCTGAGTAGACGATTGCTGTTCGCGGAGCAACTGACCGGAGCCAGTCGCGGAAGTTGGCCGCTGATTCCTCCTTCGATGCAGTTTGCAGGGGCTGATCGCTGGCGAATCTGCGTGGAAGGAGCTCTGGCCGGGCGCATCTGGGGAGCAGCTTGTCGGTCCGACGCAGTCGGGTAGCACTTGTAGCATGGTGTTTTGAACCCTAGTTGAGATTAAAGCTCCAACACAGGTTGAGTCAGACGTCGCCAACAGCCTCTTCTCCACCACGACGCAGGTCCCTCTAGTAGGCACGAAAAGCCGCGCACCGGCTTTCATCTCGCTCAAGCTCTCCAAATAATTCCCATTAATTACCTAATGCCAAAAGACGAACACTATAGACCCAATAGTCCGACAAAGTGGCACAATCACTCTTGTGGAATTTGAACAGGCCTAATTGTTCACATGGACCATTTGACACTTATAAGACACGAAACCTGGCGTGGTTGCCACGGATAGGGCTAGGCGACCCCAAACGTGGAGCGATTCGTGGCCAGGCAACTCAATACCCACGTCCGGATGGATTGTCTCAATTGCAGGGATTATCACCTATTGTTGCAACTGCTACACAGCCCGACTTTTACCCCTCGGCTTGCTACAGATGGCC